CCCTTGATTTCAAAACCAAATCACTTGTAAGCTTTGGCTTGCGGTAGAGAGGTGACCCCACCCCGAATCCCAAACAAAAGAAAAAAAGACTGATAAAAGGGGAAATCCACAGTAGCTTGTATAGCCTGAGGCATAGAGAAACATCTGCCAAAAATTTGGCTTACAAAACTTATTTTTCCGAAGGGTAGGAGCTTTACTAAGATTTCCTCTCCTTTTGTTTCTTTTTTTTCCTTTTTCATGTTTCATACAACATTCTTGAGATCTCAACATAGACACACATGTGTTTTCAAATAATAGCCAATAGAGGACCAGCTTCCACTGACATGGGTCCTAGATCTTAAGATTCCACACTTAAGATCTGGTTGGGAACCATCACACAACTGTGTTTTCACAAACTTAAAAATACTATTTTATAAGCTTTTATAGCTTCATAACATTAATTTCATTCCCAAACTTTTAGTTAACATAAGAAGAGAAATATTAACCTAATTGGTCTTACTTATTTGGTGGCTTGCCAAACTAGCACCACTGACTGCACCTCTCCGCCCAGCTCACCACTGAAACCCATGGGCCTCTCCCAGACAGATGCGCAAATGGCCATCTGGGAGGAAGAGACTGCACTACACCCCACATTCTGCTCTAGGGGGGCTGTTCCTTCGGATCTTCCAACCATCGCCTTCCAGTTCCCTGGGCTGACGTTTCCCTGAGCTGCCTGTGTGGCCTTTGACTGCCCTCCTTGGTCTTGTCTGTGGCATGGGAGGTGTGTCATCTAGGTTGAGGGCTCTGAAGCACCTCGCTTCCTAATGTGTGCTTCTGTGTTTCTACTCCCTTCTGTTCCCAATTGGTCTGGGTGGGCTTTGGGGTATCAAGTCAGGTTTCCTCCCACACCCTTCTCTGGTTCATCTGTCCCCCTCATGCCCAGCCTCCCAGTCCCAACACACACTAAGAGGCTTTCTTTTTCTCACATCATGTATAAGTAACAAACAACAGTAGCAATGAAGTGACCCCAAGTGTTGAAGAATAATTGGGATTCGAGCCTCAGCACATACTGACAACCAGGCCACTCCTCAAAATCAATACATAGTATTTAAAAAAGGGGGGTGTTTTTTCTGGCCCATAAATATATTTGTCGGAAGACTCTATGACATTTCCCCTTTCTTCTTAGAAAAGTAATCCATATTTTTTGTAAAAAAATGGTCACAATCATTTTAAGCTACCTTCTGAAATGGAGCCTACTTATGGTATATAATGTTTAATGAATAAACGACACAAAATCCTACTGTTTACAGGATCCCAACTGTATAAACAATAGCTACACGGGAAAAAATACTGGTAGGGAATATACCAAAATTTAATAGTGGCGGCTTTGGAGTGGGAAATTATAGGGATGTTTTTCTTTTTTTCTACTCATTCTAAAGTTTCTGATTTTTCTACTATGAGCATTTACTATTTCTAGAATTTTTTTAAATAATTTTTTCCCAAAAAGCTACTTAGCCGAGATATTATGTTTAAAATCTTCCCTGGCACTTGTGCCAAGCCCACTGTCTGCAGCCAAACCTGGGACAGCTGACACAGTACTGCTTCATGCCCAGAGCTTCAAGGCACTGGGGCTGCCTGAGCAGAAAGGATGACACCAGCCAACGCCACCACCACTGCCCCCAGTGTGTCTCCCTACCTCCCTTCCATCGTCCCCCCACCAGGAAAGTTAAAACATGCTCACATAGTTCTTGTTTAAATAAGTCAGTTTCACCAAATCCTTTATTTTTTCCCATCCAAATAGTCATACAACATACAATTTTAGCCAAGTAAGCTTCAAATAATCTTTAGTCAAATGCAGCTACAGCTGATAAATTATTGCAAGAAAATCGCTTCGGTCTGAGTGTCACTAAATCTGGCTGTCACATACAGCCTCACTCACCACTTGTTGAGAGAGCAGGAGTGTCACCTTCCAGGAGCATCTGTAATTCACCTGAGATATCGGCACTCTTGTGTCACAGTCCTCAGCATGAACGTAACTTTTAACTGCAAATAATTTCTAACCAGGCACATGGTTTTTAATCTTTCAGATTCAACCTTTTGAAAGCAGAGTTTGCAAGAGAGCAACTAATCAAGCCATTTACAGCTTTGCTGCTCCAGCGATGGTTTCTGCATCTGTTTGCAGCTGGGATTCCAACAGGGCAGCCAAAGCTCGGCCATCCCACTGGATTCCCACAGGCTGTCTTCTTGCTCCTGCCAGATGTTCACTTCCCTTCTCCTGGGCACGCATTTGCTGCTGCCCACTACTGAGCTTCAATTTCTTAATCATATCTCATCCCCTATACTTCCATCAGGGACTAGAGGGACCCTTGAGCCAAATGACCCATCCCTCCTCCTTAATTTCTGTATTGATCCATTTCATCTACCTTCTCTTTTTCCATTTTCTCCAAATGCCCTCTCCTCCCATTCTACCTGCCAAAAATGTGAAGGACCCACACACTGAGGAGTCTGTGACGGCAGACGGAATCAGATCCCACTGCAACAGCCACAGAGTTGGATTCCAGCCTCCCTTTGGAGCAATACACCAGGCCCTACAGCAGCCACAGAGAACGGGGCCATCGCTGCTGACTCACCATAAATGTAATCCTACTGTCCCTACCCGCTGAGGTGGTTGGGGGGCTCTGGCTTGGATGAGCTCACTAACTGTTATCCACCCAAGACATCATCCCTCCAATCAACATCCTCGGTGTATAAACTAAAGGTCAGTATGATTCTTGACGCTCTGATGGGTTAGCAACAGCAACACACAGCTAACTTCCAGTGCAATATATTAAATAAAATTAAAGCGCCAATCCCTCAGCCACACTAGTCACACATCACACATTCTAGAAACAGATGTGGCTGCTGGCGCCCATACGAGAGCAATGGGCGACCATACGCAGATATAGGGCATGTCCATCACCACAGAGTGCCCTATCGAAACAACACTGATGTAGTTTATGAGCTCACACTAAGCTCATGCAAGCCATTTTCAATAATGCAAGTCAGCAAAGACAGACCTTGACCCCACATGCATCAGCCCTTCCCTAGAGACTGAGCAGGATATAGGCACATATAAAACAGCAAAACAGTCTGCAAATGGCCTTGAGGAAAAGTCGTTTTCAGCTGCAGACTCCAGCTTGTCATCTGACAATTGTTCACTGCTGGCTGCCCCCTTCTGTAGCAGGCTCTTTCAAAATCTATCATCATTTTCTTTGCATAAAATCAGGCGACTTTTTTTAATCCAAAAAAGTTTAACAATAAGCAAATATTAGCAAGAGAAACAATCACTCAGAGCCCTTTCATAAATCACTGGGTTAATGTCACACGGTTCTCTCTCAGATCCTTCACTACGACCTTCCTCCAACACAGTGACGTTACCGACAAAACACTCGGATTAGGTCAGGCTACCACAATTCCTTGTGTGTCTTCTCTACCCAGCAAGTACACCGGGGTGAGAATGGAGTGCGTTTTTAAAGCTTAACATTAAAATAATCCTGGTATTTCCTTCTTTCACCAGCCAACACTCCTCCCCACCAGCCATTTGTCTTGGTAAACATTCTGCAGAGTTGACATTCCTGGAAGAGCCATGCGCTCTGTGGATGCGACATCCTGGATGCGTGAGCAAGGGCCGTGCTCCCGGCTTCAGGGCCACCGCAGCCGTCCACACGGAGATGCCGGCTTTCCTTTCTCTTCCCCCTCCAGAAGCCACTTATTCCTCTTACCTTATATAGCAGAAATATTAGAGGCGCGTGCGCTGCTGGGTGCGGGCTGACTTTCTGCTCCAGTTTCAGGAGCACCTCACGCACGGAGATCCAGCAGATCGCCGCTGGCTCGCGGCCAAGGCGCCAGGCCCTGCCAGCCGCCCGCGGGCGCTTCCTCCTCACCCGGCTTCATTCTTCATGATTTCCCAACTGCTGCGACTGCTGTGCCCATAGCGCGCCAGGGGCCTGCAGGGAGCACCCCCCGCTGGGCTCCGCGCCCAGCGCCACGGTTAGCGCAGCCGGGACACGGCTTGGTTTCCCCGATTCCACATCAGCCCGAGCACTTCACGGCCGCCTCGCCCTCCGCAGCTCCCAGGCTGCTGTGCCCTTGCGCTCTCTAGGCGTGTGAATGGCGCATCTCTGCTGAGCCTGAACAACCAACCAGGAAACGTGTGCTTCTCTGCCTCCTCTGGGCCCACAGGCCTTCTCAGACCACCCGGGCGGCAGGCCGGGCCTCTGCCCAGCCTTCGGAGGCCCTCAGACCCAGCAGCTTCATCAGGATCTAACTCAGAAGAGGAGTCTGAGGCCCGTCCTAGTCCTGAAGAATTAGAAAATGTCTGGGAAGGGATTTGGGGACAAGCCCTCAGGGAGCTGTGAACTAGAACGCGTGGGGCAGATGCGCATTTCCTTGTCTGTGGAAAGATCCACCTTCCCCTTGCCGAGGGGCCTCCCGCGTCCTTGGAAGGACACCCACACCACAGCCACGTCCCAGGACAAGCGCCTGGTCTTTTCCTGAGGCCAGGGGGTAAGATCCCATAGGCTCAGCTCCACAGGGGCTCCACTGGGTATCAAAATGGGACAGTGGTCAGCTTGGGGTTCCAGGGCCAGGCGGAAGGATGTTATCAGTCTCACTTCCACTGCGCACTCCCCACCCATGGGGTCGCCTCACATGACGCCGGTAGTGCCTACTTCATGGGAACAGCAAGGGGACATACAGGTCGCCAGCCAGAGCTGGCTCAGAGCAAAACTGCGCAGGAAAAGCTTTCATTGCTTTGATCTGATTGTTTTGCTTTTTAGATGATACATGGAGACTCAGCCCCTGAAGTCACAGTATTGTAGCTGATGCTGCAATGAAAATATACCTGAGTGGGTTTCAAGAAACAGACAAGGCTCCCAGGAAGGAAGACTTTCTTTTTAAAATATATTTTCTTCTTGTGCTCCGTACACATGGGACCGTGATGCCCCTGGGAGTGCAAGGGAAAGCAATGTTTTGGAACCTACCTGAATCTCGACTGTCCTGGTCTTCATGTTCATTCGGTTCGACCTCCATGCTTTTCACACACTGGAAAAAATAAAGTCAGGTGGTGGTGTTTTTTTAATGACTACGCGCCACATTAATGTTTCCTTATTTTTGTAAACTAGAAAAACAACCTCCGACAACATCAGTAAGTACGTGTTACATGTATCAGGACACATAAGCAAAAAACTAGTCTTGCCCTTAATTGATATTATTTAAGAGCTAAAAATAAGAGAAGGATCTGTCCTAAACTGAAACATGCCTGCAAGCTCTCCACAGGTTATTTATTCCAGAGAATTTCTCCCAGGTACACTCTAGCAATCACATTACTGGCAAACATTTGTGGTTATCAAAACTCAAGTACAAATTTGTTTTGGAAAATGTATTAAGTCATCTTGCATATACAACTACAACCCAGAAGGATAGCTGGGTATGGTCATAAACACTAGAGATGGAAAATTCGATAAAGAAAACTGAATTTCAAGTTATTCTAAATGCGACTCGGGGCACATCTCTAGGTGTTGGGGTTTATTGTTTTGTCTTATTGGTTTGGTAAAACTATTATTACCACTAGATCTTCACTTCTACTTCAACTCTGGAGGGCAGGAGAGAAGAAACGGGGGGGAGCAGGGAATCATTACCTTTCCATCCTCTTGTTCAGGCGACGATCTACTGGACGCCAAATTCTTAATCTCTGCAAAAGGAACAATTCTCATCAGGATCTGCTGATAAAAGCTTTTGTTTATGGGAAAAAAGAAAAGGGAGGGGAGTAGGAGAGACGGGAAAGCTGGATGAAGATTATAAATGAACCGCCCGGGTGCTGTTCGCGTGCAGCTGGGACTCAGATTAGGCTTCTTAAAAATCGGCCCTCCACAAAGCAGAGCATCTCGTCCCCTCACCGCCCACACTCCGGGATTGCTTGTGTGGACCAAGGTGAAAACAAGCCCAGGAGCTCCCACAGGAAACCCTGAGGGGGGAAAACGACCACTGAGCAAATAAACGCCCTTGATTCAGAAGGACGGCTGCTCGCTCGCGGAGGGCTCTTCGCAACAGCACAGACTATCCAAGGCCACGACTTGAACCCACCTGAGGAAGCCCCGCACATCTGCTTCCTCAGCTACCACAGGTGTCGTGTGTCATTCCTTCTAGAGGCGGTCTGGCCTTTCCTGGGGCGTCAGTGGAAGTGGCGCTGGGGCAGTGGCAGGCTCGGCACTGCCGGGCCGCAGGCCTGCGGCGCCCTCTCTCTCTGAATCAACACTTTCCTGGAAACGTCGGCGGTCAGGATGTTCTGGGATGTACAGGAAGGTTCACTTAAGGGGTATTTTTCTCTGCGCCTTGACTGATTGGTTCTCTTCCCAAGCACTCAGGTGCGGTAAACAAGGGCCACTATTGTTAAATAACCACCAACATGGGGGCCGGAGGGGCAGGGAAAACAAAAGGACAGCCGGCTAAGAATCTTTGCCCACATTTGTATTAACATAGAGCACTGTGGGCCCCACGGCCTGCCCTGGACCGCGCAGCTCCCCTGGCCCGCTGCTGCTCCCAGCGCACAGCACCTAGCCGGCCCTTATTCCACTCGGCCACGCCTAGTAATTCAAGTCACCTGAGGCCTCCGACCTCAAAGTGGATTTTTTTCAAACTCTTCTCACTGCCTGGCAACACGTCAGGAGTTTTCATCCGTGTTCCTGCTTAGGAAAGTCTGAGGGATTCATTTACACCTTGAGGCAAGGAGGAGGCAGAGACATGAACTTTCCCAGTGGCTGAGGGGTTTCTAAAAATCTGCATCACAATAACTCTGAATTTGCTTTACATCCAACAAGTAATAAGATATTAACACTGCACAGTAGTGTGCTGTTCTTGACTTCATTGTGCATGTTACAAGGGAAAACAAATAGCCTCAATTTTGTGTGGTCTCGTCAACTGACCTCAACACAGAATATGAGGGCAAAGAGGGAGCTGACCCGCAGCCAGGGCAGCTTTTGTTCCCTGGTATCCCCGCCTACCTCTAAGTGCACGCCCCGCACAGGCCTCCAGGTGGCAGCAGAGTAACACCTGCAGGGCGACATGGGCCACAGCATGTGCCAGCTGGGTCAACCTCACCCTTCAAAAGCCTGCGTGTAAGGGTCTGGGTCCGAAGCTTTCATCCCACCGCACAGATGCAGAAAGTTGATGTGAAGCACCTACTCTGTTGTTTACATTATAGTAACATAGTAACGGTTTTATTTTGAAACATGTCTACCCAAACCCATAAAAATTGGGTAAGTAGGAAAGATACCACCGTGTTAGAAAACAAGGGGAGGGTAACCAGAACCAAAGTTTCAACAGATACATCCGCAGAGACAGCAAGAGCCACACACGTTTTCACTTCGTCTATTATAGGATATCCCTTTAAAGCCTTTTCAGACCATGTGCTCTTAAATTATGATCCTGCATTGCTAAAGAATTCTCTACTACATTAGCGATTCAGAACAGTACACATTTCATTCAAGATTGCTCATGAGGAAGGCTCTAGCACCTGGTTGAGTGTGCAACAACAAAGAATGTGTTCACCCCGGCAGTACACTCACGCTCCAGCTTCCTGCCCTCTCTAAAAGCCAGTCTTTGTTCATTGCCTGCCTACGTTTTTCCTCATAGTCTAATGTAATTTTGTTTCATTTTTGAACAAACTATCTTAAAATAGACAAGTCTTCATAAAATTTGTACTCCATCATTTAAAAGATAACTTACAAAGTTATAAAACCTTTATCCTAAAATCATTAAGATATTTGTGATAGTGTGTAAATTCAGGATAATAATGTATCTTTAATTAATCTAGGTCTATACAGAACTGCATCTTAGAGCTTTCAAGGAATTTGGCACTCATTCGACCGGGGTTTAATTAAATTGCTCCAGAAGAGTTTCTGCTAAATTACTAGGATCCTTTTACAGTCACCCACTGTACCACCAACTGCACAGTGCAATCAAACCACTCATTGCTATAGCAACCTTCAGCAGATAATGATATCAGTGACTCCAAGCTATTCTGTTTTAAAGGCCTATTAATCTTGCCTTTAAGGCCCACCCAGAAGTAAGAATTACCCCCTCTAAATCGGACTTACGAACTTCATAAACATACTTTGTATTGCCAAGCTACAATGGAACAAGAAATAATCTCTAATAATCATGTTTGCAGTGACATTGCATCAGCAAACAGGGTTTTCAAAACAGGGTTAAGTAGCTGTAAGATTAATATCAGTGTCTTAAGAAACAGATTAGCCTAACAGATCTCAACTCTGTGCACAAACCTGTCTCCTTTTGACAAATGGAGCCAAAGAGGCCAGACTTAAGCGAAGAAAAAGCTTACATTGAAAATAAAGCATGCTCAGTATTCTTTAACTACCACTTGCTGTGCCATCTGACTCCTCTCCCAGGAAGGAGGCAAGAAGAATCATGTCAGAGCCAGCCAGACAGCTGCTGCTGTTTCAAGCCTACCTCAGGCTCAACTGTCCACGGTCAAGTGCACCACTGGCTTAGATGTGCAGAGCACCACCAGAAGCATAACTGGAAACAAGGGCCATGCTCTCAGCTTGCTCTACCCGCCCACCAATGCCCAGAGGAACCCTTGGGGTGGTTCACAGTCTTTGACAGAATCTTTTTCTCCCAACAGACCGAGTTCTGGAAAGGCTGGTCCAAATCAATTTCGGTCCAACACTTGCATCTGCAGCGCCAAGCAGGGTGCCGAGACATTACAGGTGCTGAGTGAGTGCTTCTCTCCTCCACCTGGACCTGGTGGCCTGAAACAGCCACCGAGATGTGGCAGGTCACTAGGCAAGCGGGGGGTGAGCCAGGGAAGGGAGAGCCGTTTACTGCTCTGAATTGCCACCTCGAATACTTCCAACACTAGCACTATTTTATCACGACTCCGAGCTGCCAGGTGGATCTGCCCGATGAACGCTTTCCCCTTGCTTCCCCCCACCCTGCACCTCGGAGATCAAATCCACCCTTTCCTCTCCAGTTGGGCACTGGTGTTTCACTCACAGTGACTTCACTTCCAGGTGCCACTTTAGTGTTGCGGCCTAGTGTGCCCGTCGATCCACGGCCGCCAGAGGTTCAAAACGGCGAAGGGAACAAATCTGAGAAACTGTCCACCACCCTTCATTCAGAGGCTACACAACACTTTGACCTTCTGTTTCAGCATCCCAATCATGTTTCTCCCCCCGAGAGAGGGACTACTAATAAGGACAAGTGCGGACTGGGGGAAACAGTGAGGCACTTATCTATCGAAATATCGACGTGAGCCCTGTGGGTCCACAAGCGAAGCTGGGCCCCGCTGAGCCGCAGCACCAGCAGCCAGGCCGCCCACCCGGGGAGGGAAGAAATGCCTGCCCTCCAGCAACTCCAAAACGTGGTCCTTCACAATTTAGTTCTTATATTTGTACTCCTCATTCTTTCAGAAAGAATTTATGACATCTTTTTTGAAATACAGTTTTTTAAAATAATTTGTGACACTTTTGAGCCAAAAAAGTAATTGTTTAAGAAAATTTGAACAGGACTACAGAAGAGTAACCAATAACACCACGGTTAATGTTTTAGCATATATTCCTCCCCATACATATATTTTTGTCACAGCTTTATTGAGACATAATTCAATACCATATTATTCACCCACTTAAAGGGTACAATTCAGTGATTTTTAATATACTCGAAGTTGTGCAATATCATCACCACAATCAATGCCGGAACATTTGTATCACGCCAACTCGAAACCCAGCACCCCTATCACTCACTACCCATTCCTCCTCAGCCGCCCCCTCCCACCCCAACCCTGGGCGACCACTACTCTATGTTCCATCTGAAGGGATTTGCCTATTTGGATATTTTATATAAATGGAATCACACAATATGCAGTCTTTTGTAACTGGCCTCTTTCACGTAGCATAATGTTCTCAAGGTTCATCCATGTTGCAATGTATCAGCACTTCATTCCTTTTTATCGCCAACTACTACTCCGTTTCATGGGTACAGCACATTTTATATATCCGTTCCTCAGCTGATGGGCATTGGGCTGTCCCACTTTTTGGTAGTTATGATGAATGCTTCTATGAACATTTGCATATAAGTTTTTATGGAGATGTTTGTTTTCATTTCTCTTCTGAGTATAGATCCAGGAATGTAATGACCTGGTCATGTGGTAACTCTATGTTTAATGTTTTTATAATACAGATTCTTTACATCTCCAGTGTACACATGCACATATCCCCCCACGACCCCCTGTAAAATCTCAAACAGTAAAGAATTTATTCATGGAGAGAGAGAAAATATATCCTCAGCCCAAAAATTTGGTTGCAACTATCAACTGGGCAGAAGCTCTAAACTTATTATATTTCAAATTGAGATCATGACATAATTTTCCTGATTTACTCAGTTGCTTGAATAAAATGAAGTAAGTAATCATTCAAAGATAAACAAGGTTCAGTTTTGTTTTGGGAATGATTTTATGTCCCTAAGACTTCACACGTAGCTCCTACTTCAATTCAGGAAAGAAACCCCTTCGCTATATTTTCAACTAAAGCTTATTTCAATTCTATGAGACTCTTAGTCGATATGCTTAGTTTAATGCTTGTCTCTGCCCCACAGGCTGTGAATCTGATGGAGCTAGAACAGCATCCACAGCAGATGGGAACAGAATTTGTTGTATCTGGGTGCGTTCTGAGG